AATGGCTAACAGATATCCATGATTCAATGCAAATATCAGACTGTAACAAACAATATTCTGATGAATGTAATTTTTACTTGCTATTAAAACAAATGGCCAAGAAAGTAGCTCAGTGATATCGAATGTACTCAACCTGCACAAGACTGTGTCTGATCTGCACTTAGGGAGAAAAAAAAACCCACTAATAACTCTAGAGAAAAAAAAACTTTAATATTAAAGAAAAAGTTCAAAGGAAGGGCTGGGTAGGTGGCTTAGTGGTAGAGTGCTTGCCTTACATGCATGAGCTCATGCCCTGGGTTCGATTCCTCAGCACCACATAAGCAGATAAAGCCGGAAGTGATGCTGTGGCTCAAGTGGTAGAGTACTCGCCTTGAGCTGAAGAGCTGAGGGACAGTACCCAGGCCCAGAGTTCAGGTCACACGACCCAAAAAAAAAAAAAGTTCAAAGGAAAAACTATATGTACTTTCATGAAAAACTGTATGTATTTTCACTCTTTAAGTAAACTGCCAATGATTACTTTTAGAAATTAAAATTACATGCAATATACAATTGCTATCTTATTTCAAAAAAGGTTCTCTTCCATTTCTAAAATATATTACCTCCATCTGCCAAATGTCTCAACTTCATTATTAGAACTATTATATGGACCCAATCCAATGTTTGCTTGAAATACCTAAGTATTATTCAATTCTATTTTGAAATTCATTCACAGTGCTCATGCAATGATTTTCTCGTTCTATACTTTCCATTAAGAACATGAACTAATTTATCAAAAGAAACTCCAGGAAATAGAAATATGGTGTGTATGTGAGAGAGATTGTTATTGTTGTGGTTGTTTGCTTTTGCTTTGGTTTCTTATTCTTTTGGCAATACGGAGGACAGACAGAGAGGAAGGGTGAACAAATATAATCATGTTTCTCAGTTTACACGATGTGGAAAATGAACTATATAACTTGTGAGCAGAGATGGGAGAGGAAACTGGGGAATGAAGAAAGGTGTGACACTGCCCAAAGGAATGTACTCATTACCTGAGTTATGAAATGATAAGCCCTCTGCACAATACCTTAATAATGATTTTTTTAAATTTTAAATCTTTTAAAAATAAAACAATATGAACTATCAAACTATAAACACTATACTTTCTAAAGCTAGGGTAATAATTTTTGCTTGCACTTTTAAGATTATATTATAATTAAAAGTATATGTTAAATACTATGCCTATAGCTATGTAACCATACTGTATAAGGATATGTGTTTAACAGATAATAAATATTAAACAGCTTCCCAATACAGCTGAATTAATTTATACTTCCCATCCTTATCGGATGGGAAGGGATGGGATCTACCAATTTGACAAGAAAAACTGTACTACCACTTTAATGGAATATTTTCAACTTTGTGTTTTATGTACTGTTTTTTTTGTAAGGAATATATATACAAATATTTTTCCAGCCTAATACCTCTATTATGATGGGAGGGAGAGAATAAGAGGGAAAGAGGGACCAGTTTACACTAAGCAAAAGGAAAGAAATATAAGTATCACCTGATATGGAAGGAAGTTGTTCTGTCAAAGCTCATAGAATTCACAAACTTTATAGACCATGATACTGACAATTTGCCTTGTGAAGGTTAAAATGTGTTTGTGACTTTAAGTATCACTATTCCACAATGCTGTGAAATGTGAAATTTATGTAATCACCTAATCTCATTAAAAAAATTAAAATGTCCAAACAAAAGATAACATCCCCCTTCCCAAGGATCCTCCACAAAGATAAGCCATGCACTTCTAGACTTTATAGAAATGAAGTATGTCAAACTTGACTAAAGAAATATGTGATTTAAATGTCCTCGTTAGTTAAAACTTAACATTCAGGTTAATTAAAACTCTTGAATCATTATACCCAGGTGAAGGGTGATTAAATTATCTTACCAATAGACTGAATTAGAGACAAGAAGAGACATAAAATCATCAATGTGAAAACAAAATCAGATTCAGAGCTGGGGTATTAATTAAACAAAAGTAAGTGTCAAAGCTGAAAAAAGGGATGTACTGTTGAAAGGCAGATGAATAAAGATGTCAGCCTTACAGTTTATCCACTGAAGAAACCCAAAAAGAGCTAGAAACGCAGATGGAGCAACTTTTAATGAAATGAAGAGAGCCAAACAAACTTGGATTTTTTTTTTAAATGGAAGTGAGTGGTAACAAAATTAAGTAAGACTAATACAGGAAAAATGGAGAAAAGGTTACTAACTCTTCTTTGACATGTTAGTTATATAACTTTAACCTAAATCAAAGTGAAGGCATATGAAGATGGTATAGTCTAAGGGGATACTGTTTCAGAGTTCTACTGGTGTGTGGGCAAAAAAAAAAAAAAAATGAACAAGATTAACTTCGTTGTGTAAACAGATAACTTGGTTATAGCCCAAGGCCTTCTATAAACTAAGGCAAGATAAAGAAAATATTAAACCAAAGAAGAAAGAGAAGCAAATATCCCAATAATATGAACTAATGATATTGCTGTGGTTAAGCATTAAATTTACTGACCTTATTTACCAGAAAAGTAAAAGAGAAATTTAATATAAATCATAGTTTTTGTAAAACAGATGTGCAACACTTCATCAAAAGAAACTTTTCCTGGAAAATAAAAATTCAAAGGGCAATGACCTAACAGGTTTTTATAATAAATGAAGCAATTTTACTCTCCTTTAAGTGAACAAACAGCTGAATAGCTTTTAACACATGCCAACTATTGTTCTAAGCCTTTTACAAAATGGCAACTAATTTAATTTTCACATGGCTATTTCTTTTAGTAACACTCTAAAGTGTGGCAGATTCCTAAATGCTGATTAAAGATGACCTATGCTTTGGAGTCTTGACCATTAGAACACAAAATCAAATGGAAGCTACCTCCCAGAATCAAATATTTGTCACACATAGGCAAGATGAAAGGAATCAAGGAATAAGATGCAACTTCAGGAAAGTAGATCACTGGAGAAACAGAAATTTTAACCATAAAACACTCTTCATTTATAACTTCAATGTTAAGGTTCTTTTAATTGCATATGTAAGATAAAGATAGCTGGGTTTCACTTTCCTATCAAACTATTAATTGAAAGTCCTCAGTATTGTCATCTATCTGAATTGCTCCTAAACTTGTCTATCTATTTTGGTACAAACACATACACACACCAAACATATTCTCCTTTGAACTAAGGTAGACAAGGTTATCTTATTGGCACTTATTTCCGTGGCTATCTGAGCCAGTCTAGAGAAATGCCCACCTTAAACTGAAGATGGGGCACTATCCAAAATAACATTCCAAAGTTGTTATGAGATGATCTCTTATTAAAAAAGCAATGAAACCAGTAAGTTTTAAGGAAACAAGTAAATCTGACAAATGTTCAATTTCCTATCTGACAACAAGAAAAAGTGAGAAGGACCCTTGGGACAAGTGAAAAGACACAGAACCAGTCTTATTTTTAACAGAAAGCAGTCCCCATCCTTCAGCCTTTCAGAGTAACTTAGATGGTAGTAAATGCACTTTGCAATTCTGTTAACTTAGGGCATATCTATTTAAACTTATTACATGCTTGGTAAAGCAGATGATGTTAAAGTGAGTCCCAAATGAGATTAAGCACACACATTCAGGTGTCTAAAACATTACAGGGAGGGGAAAATTTAACAGAAGTTCAGAGAAACACTTGATGGGATTTACACTAATCAAATATTAAATAATATGCCAGGGTTATATATAGATATTTTGTGGTACAAAACCATTATCAACAAATACCACAAATTTCTCCCATTACCAGGTGCTTTGTTTGAAAATAAATTTTTTTGTCTGGGAAAACAACTTTTAGGAAGGTCACAACTTCAAGTACAGAAAACATCAAGTAGGCCTGAGATTGAAATTATAAAGTGTACACGTTCGTTTTGACTTAATCTAGGGTTAGAAGTAAGAGTAAAAGGCAACAACAGGATATACTGTGCCAGTATAAAGTCAGAAAAGGTATAAAGAAAGCAGTCAAGTAAATGCTCACCTAGATTAGGAAAACAATCTAGGTTTGTCTATATTACACGGGCCAAAAACATTCACAAGACTGTGCCTCAATTCTTTTTTAAAGATCAATTTTGTTTGGAGACTAAATTACTGTTACACACGTGTAAGATGAGTCAACATCCTACCACAAGACACAAAGCCGCAGATTCTTCACTGCATTCTATGTCATATCTTTTAGCTTTCTGACCTTTATTTTCTCAAAATCCGCCCTTCTCATGGAAGCCATCAAACTGGCCCAAGCTGTTCCCCAGTGTAAACGTGAACAGGTGGTTTGTGAAGGGTGCCTCATCCTTTAGGCCACATGACCCGATTCCACCTAATCTCATTTCTCCAACATTATTTCCGGTGCCCCGATGGCTCTCTATGCACGCAAGCCAGAAGGAGCCACCTCTTTAGCATGAAGCACACTCGGCCACATCTGGCTTCCAGTAGGATGATAGCAGGGACCGAGAGGGCAGGCAGAGCCTGGAAAAAGCAAGGAGTCAGGAGGCACGAGCTCTGCTCACAGCCTGACTCCTAAATGTCACTTGGTGGAGATGTTTCGTGCGGCATCACCCACGAAGAGCTGGGCGGGGAGCCAGGCGCTAGCAGCCTGATGCCGAGGGGGGCCGAGCACGCGGCGCGGGCGGAGCAGCAGGCCTCGCCGGGGCGGGGGCCGAGCCGGGCCAGCCCCGCCGGGCTCACGACAGCTCCACTCGGGGAGACTCGCGCCGGGGCGGGGAGGGGAAGTGGGAGCCCGGCAGAGGGGCGCGCGGGCGGGGAAGGCGCGGGCGGGGCCGGGCCTAATCACATGGCGCAGACGATGCAGGCCGCCTGGCATGGCTTTCTTTCTCTTGGGCGAGCCCGGGCTTCCATCCCGCCCCACCGCAGCAGCCCATCCCTCCCCGGGCCCCAAGTCAGAGCAGAACCAGGCCTCCTCCACCCGGTCACGACACTCACTTTTCACCCGCGGCCGCCAGCTCTTTGCCCTCGCTGTTGCCGAACGCGTCCGTCTCCCCAGCGCTGTCCTTGGGAGCGGGAGCGGGCGCCGGCGGAGCTGCGGGTGGCGACGCCCCGGCCTGCGGCTGCGGGCCCCCCTTGCCCAGCTCCTGCAGAATCTCCGAGGGAGAGCTGGACAGGCCCC